CCTATCCTGAAGATCAGAAGTCAGCAGGCGTAGCTTTCTGTCAGCTGCAGCAGTGCAAAATCTACAAAGAGAGAGGAAGAGGAAAGAGAAAGGGAGAATGTGAAAACAAACAAAAGGATAACATCAAAACGGAGTCAGACTGTATGGACACAATGACAGATGACATCTCTTCCTACATGAATGCCTGCGACCGCCTAGACTGACACCTCTGGATGAGTGTCGGTGTGTGTGTGTGGTAGAAACTTGGACAGCGATCAGTAGAAACGCTGCCAGGGAGATTCTAATTGCAAGCTAAGATAAACACGGAGAAAAACAAGATTCCTCACGGCATTTACGCAGGTCTCTGTTGAAAAACCTGTGCGGAGCCAGGCAGAGGACTTTCCCTCTAATCATCGTAGTGTACACCAGTGCCTGCAATTATTCACACAATTACACTAACTCACTTATGACAAGAAAAACACACACATATCACCAGAATAAACAGACAGCGGTTCACACATTTTCAGTCGCAGGCACAGATGGATTTGGCATGATGTCACTACAAACACCCTTAACGTGCTTCGGGGCATTACTGCTACAGTAGATTAGATTATATTAGGATAGGCCTTCTAACCCTACAAATTAGTGTTGTACTTTGGAGAAAAGCATGGAACAAATTCTGGTTGTTTTTGGCTTTTCTTTTTTTTTTTTACTTAAATGTCAAAGCAATTTTCTTTATTGATCTCCAACATGCTTGTAAAATTAAATACCAGTACCAGTTCAGCTTTGCTTTTGTTGAGCAGTGTTATTGTTTTAACAGAAGACAAAGATGAGAGTGTATTCTTTCCGAGGTGATGTCACCACAAAGCACACATCAACAAAGAGACCTGGCAACATAAAGTAAATACAAACTCTTTGGGGAACTTCTTCAGTTGTGAGAAGAATAAATATCTTCTTATCTTTTGCCAAGAGAACGATGAGAATATTGTTGCCACCCTTGTATCTGAAGCTACAGTTAACAGCCGGTTAGCTTAGCATAAAGAATAGAAACAGGAGAAACAGCTGGTCTATTTCTGTGAGTAAAAGCACACATAAGATTGGGTTTGACCCAACTGATGCTACTTCACTTTTTAAGATATCATAGACGTTCCTTTTCTGACATAAAAATTCCCTGACGTTGTTCCACACCATCTTTTTTTAAACCAAAATACTTCCAAATAGCAAATGTAACACTTTTTTTCCAAAACAACTCTTCTTCACTCCTTGTTAGCTTGATTTTCCATTGTATGGTGAGAAAATCTGCTCTAAGGAAAATTGTGATAGGTCAGTTGCTGTGCAGACACAACATGAGTCCAACATGTAATTAAATAAGGCTGTAGCTTGTCAGATGGGGCCGACTGTTTGTCTATGCGATCGGCCATGCCACAGCAGGTTTTTTATTCTCTAACAAGCATTAAATTGGTATATTTAGTGCACAATGGTGGGCTTTATTTGTCAGATGTGACAATGCATGCCTGTAGATTGCAGAATAAATGCTGAAATTACATGAGGTTTTGTGCTGCGTACAATGAATATTTGGAGGAAGATAATTAATATGTGGTGTGTGTCTGGTCTTTGTAGGATTCATTATTCTTCACATATTCCCATTTTAAGCTGCTGTGGTGGATGTTGGCAGCTAAAGCCCCCTCCCCTCATCTCTCTCACTCTTTGGGCCCCTGCTTGAGGCCGGCCGTGAGAACGTTGTACTTTTCCTGGAAGGCACAGCTACGTGCAGATCGAAAGGCGGGATGGAACCTGAGCGGGCAGTCATCAGCGCAATAACATGTGCGCACGTCACAGTGCTGGCTGGAGGGCCGTGTGGAGTAAACCACAGAAGGCCAGGAATTATCGCTGCCTTTCCTTTTCAATTACAGAAAGCCTAAACACCTCCGGGGGGATCGTGGAACCTTCCCATCCACTGCTCCAATTAGGAGGAAACTCTTGCTTTCTAACAATCTACAGTTAGGCTACTTCCCTCCTGTCCAACCGGCCACCTGAAATAACTTGGCTCACATCCTGGCAGCTGCAGCATGACAGTGAGAGGCGGTGATGACTACTTTCACACAACGGCTGCTGTGCTTTCTCCACAACTGCCTCTTGTTCTGGTCAATGGACGAGTGTTCGTGAATAATTATTCTGTTGTGTTAAAGACATAGATGTCAGCTTTCTGATGTGGGAGTGAAGTATGGCTTTTCACTTCCTAGTCCTAATAAAGGTTATGATGACCTCTTACATTACAAGAGGCTCTAGAGCTGCTGATGTCCCACCATGAACACAGTCTTATGTTAAAAGCCAGTTGTGCTAATACAGTTTTATTTAACTTGACCTGAATAATGACAATTTGTCAGCACCACTTTACATAATAAATGAACAATTTAGCCGGTAGAGGGGCAAGTCCATCATAAGTAGGGTTGGTGGTTTAATCTCTAGTTCTATCTGTCAACATGTAAAATGTGAGCAAGAAATGTAACCCCTCACTGATGCATATGTATGGAAAACAATCTGAGAGTCAAATATGCCGCATCAAGGTTCAATAACTGTTTTATGGTAATGCTAAATGCTAAAAAAAAAAGAAAGGATTGAAAAGGAGGTGTGGTAAGCTTTGTTGGGAACAGCTGTGAAGCTGAAAATCTGTCAACTTGCTTTCCTTGTTGTGCACTAAATGAGTCTAGCCACTAAGGAGTAGCAGATTAATTTAGCATGGACAAGACTGTATTCAAGATTAGTCATGAGCGCAGTTGCCAGTATAAGTATAATTTTCTGTCAAGCAGTGACATGTTTTTAAATGTTTGCATTTTCTTCAATGCATCATTATAATGTTCATGCATTGCAATTTTGATGTTGCAACAATTTACACAGCTCCAAAATCTTTAACCATTGTCCTGCACCATGTAACTTGGTAGGGACATCTTATCCACACACCAACAGGTGCTGGAAAAAAGAAGCCATACCTGATAGTGGGTATTCTGTCTAGCCGGGACTCTGGGCTCCAGGCGAGAGCATCGACACGTAATTCATGATGGAAAGCTCGAAGAACATTGAATTCAACTCCCTCAATGTCCATATCCTCCTCCTGTGGGAACAAGTGTGTATTCAGAATATAATATACTGTGCATTACTTTTGGTAAACCAGGATGATTGAGGCTGTGTCTCTAACCTGGAATAGGCAGGTGCCCACAACCACATATTGGTTCCCACCGTAAGCCAGGAGAGAGGCAGATGTACCAGAGCTGAAAGGACTGAATTCAACCACATGAACATAGTCCTCGCATGTCACAGTGTAACTGGGAGTGCGGCTAGAATCCTCCTGCATCCTGCAAACTGGCTTCAACTGTAAAAAATCAGAACAAAGAAAACAGAGAATCGTTTGTCTAATGATCAGCAAACAAATTCTATTCAACACTGCAAAAAAAGCAACATCTGTTAAATTCGTCACCAATGTTCTGCTAATATTTTTTTTAAATGTATAACTAGTGCTACTTCTAGTCATTCCTCCCATTACTGTAACAGGAATCTTTACATAACTATGTGCAGTAATAATTGTACTAATGTAATATACACACTTGTCATATACAGCACTCTACAGTTCAACACTTATTTGTATTTAATAAATAATGCCACTACTCGGTTACAATCTACTTGAATGTGTACTTCTGTGAATTGTAATTATTTTCTATTTTAAATACTATGTGCATGCCTTTTCATATAATAGTGTTCTATTTTCTTCACATGTATCTAAACTTTGCTGTAACAATGTACATTTCCCCTTTGCAGGACGAATAAAGGAATTCTGATTCTGATTAATAAACAAAATATGAATTATTCCGAGCTAATGTAGACTGAAATAACTACTACTATATCAGGGAATAATATAGCTTTGACAACTGTCATAAACTTTGCCACGCCATGTTATCAAGGCAGTCATTCCTTTAATATCTGTGCCAGAATTAGGCCACTGATGTTGCTTTAATGTGATATAGTGCCTTTATTCTTTAGGTCATTCAAAAATGTTATTACTTACAGCTGTCAAACATTAAATAGTTCCTAAATGTCTGAGGAGCAGTACCCTCATAAAATACGAATGCAATGATTGTTGTCAGACCAGACCTAATTATAATATTTACGTTTAATATATTGTATATAGACTCGAGGCATCCATACGCTAGCTGGTGGGTATTGTTACTAAGGTATATCGGCCACCATTAAATTCTGCAAAACAAATTCAAACCCACAAAGCAGTGACATTAGACATGTTTAACTCAGATGTAGATATTACCAGAACAAACCAGAGACCGGCAACGTTACGTCCACAATGAGGCTGGCCGGTTGCTATAAGTAAAAAAGGTAATTTGGTGTAAGGAAAGCTAGCTAAAATGTAACGTTATTTTATGTGAGCTACATAAACGGTGTAGCTTCAGTGTACTTTGTACTAACGCTACACATAACGGTACTGCGACACCGGCTAAAGAGCTAAAACGTGACAGATAACTAATGTTTCAAGTGAACAGCTAGCTAGCAATTAGCAATAAACAGGCTTATATTACCCACTTTTTAATGTAACACTCCGACTAACAGCTTACTAGTTACGTCTAGGTTAAGATAGCATATTCCGGTTCAGAATACATTAAAAGACTGATAAACCTTACCACTTTATTTTCAATAATTTCTTCAAATCAAACGGTGCGCGCGTTTGACATGTTTTCAAGCTGTTTCCGGGTACGACATGGAATGTTCCAATGAATAGAAATGTGAAGGGAGATTTTGCAAAGCTTAAATGAAAATATCTAAATTGTGGTGCAATATATTTGCGTAGGTGAGCTATAAAGTACATGTTTTCCATTTAATTATTCTTTATTTATAATCTACCACATATTTATTAAGAAACAACGCAGTAGAAAAACTTTATCTGGTCGACCTAACCTTTTGTTGCTTACTTAAAACTGATTGGTCAAGCGGCTAAAAACGTCATCGGCAGTTTAAAAATTCAAAACACTGCTTCTTGTTGCGGACGTGTGTTCTCGGGGAAATCTACAATATCAGAGGTTCGAACCATTAAATTAACATTGTATTTCATGTTTTAAAGCCATAAACATATGATACTGTTGTTACATATTGTGATTTTTATTTTGGAATGCATCGATTGAATCGATAACATTATGCCACCGAGGCCAACGAATATGCAGGTTTACCTTTGAATTAAAAAGAAAATACATTTGTTTTGGGTCATAGTCGGCTTTTATGTAGTAAAACCTGGTTAATTCAAACATGTAGGAGAGTAACATTAATTGGCAATTCACTATATTTGTTGCATCGTTTTTTAGGCACGTTTTGATGAGTATTTTCCGTTACTGTTGTTTAAGGAGAAAATGGAGGCCCTTGGAGAGCGTCTGAAGGTGATGGTTAAAGTGTTCAGGAGAGAGGGCCAAAGGGTTTTACACTCTGAGAGGACCACCATTCATGGAGCTGATGGCATGCTCATGATACTCCAGCTGGCAATGGCAGAAGTTAACAAGCAGGTAACAGAATCAGAATCTCTCTAATTGAATTGTTGCTTAAATGCCTTATTCAACCCTTAATGAGAAATGTGTGGCCAGAAAGTACACGCATGTAGACAAACAATTTACTCACACACATTAAAATGGTCTTAAATGCAAATATGATCATGTAGGGAAAGACAGGAAATAAAGGTCAGCATTATCCAACAGCACGAGAGCACATTATATTAAATGGTGCAAGTGCATGAACTATACACAGTATAAACTGGTCTCTTCTTGCAGTGTGGCTACTGATAATCTTATATGGACTTATTTAGCATTAAGCAATGTGAAGGATCTCTTTGTTTTGAGGTGAGGCTTACACCACATGCAGGGATGTGAACCATCAAATGAAATAACATTTGAAATATAACAGGAATAAAACAGTCGGTATTCTTGCTGTAAGTTATCTGGCCCTAAAACAAAGCTGTAGGAGCCCAGCTCACATTATAATCATCATCATGGCATGATTCAATTGAACCATCAGGCGGACTGTCATCACGTCTATAACAGATGACATTACCACAGGTTTCCGGCTGAGTACGCTCATGACCCATTTTTGGACGGCTGGAGACGGCCCTTGTGCTTTTGAACTGATTGGATCCAGGCCGTCAGTAATTATGGCTGCTGCTTTCACTGTTTTCTCTCTTCCTGTGACAGCACGGCCGAGAGTTCAAAGTGGCTCTGAGTGATGTCCTGATGGCCTGGAAACACTTACTGTTAGACAAACTTCACCTGCCACCCCCCAACTCTGCACGCATGGAGAACTATGATCTCATCCTGGAGGCATATGAATCCTTCCTGAAGCGCTCCAACACGGTGGACCTGATTGATATCCTCTCCATGTACAAACAGCTGAGATTAGATGACTCGGACCCAGAGGAGCCTGTGAGCCCGGTGAGCAGAAATCAAACTGATGTTAACTTTGGATGATGACATTAGCTACCGAGTAAGAGATCAATTTATCTTTTTAATTACTTTTTTTGTTCTTTTGTAAAGATTCAGCTGTTTGAGTTCTTATCGAACAACGAGGAGGTCTTGGAGTTTCCAGACTCTGCAGTGCCGTCAACACCGTCTAGTAAAATCAGACCCTGCTGCTCACAGGTAGGCCCAGTCCTACTTTCACACACTTATAAAAGGTGCAACTTATTCCATAAACCACCATACGAAAAACACCTCTTTCCACTCATACAACATTTTCTCAGTGAAATAAAATGCTTTTTCTCCACCTGCCAAAAATCCATGCATTGACTTTCCCAATGTACTTTCCAAGTATTCAGCGTACTTAATTTCTGCCTGGAAGCTAGCATGCTCTTATTGACAGGGACTCTATATCATATCACTTTGATTTAACAGTGCAATGTGAATTCAATTACCAGGCAGATGTTTAAAACAACACAATGTCGGGCTGGACAAGAGCTTCTGTAACTGAGTGTCTTTGCTCCACTTCTTCTGTCACTTGTGTATTTATGAGTCTTTAGAGGAGGCTTGCTGCTGCACACTAACTCAAGTGATGTAATTTTTGGAGCTTAATATGGGCTGTCAGCTGCTGTGTTTAGTGCTTTTACTCAGGCAGTAAAGCCACTGTCCATTGTAGGTAGTTTATAAACACAAACTGGACTTGTCTTCCATAAATATTGGATATGCTTTAGTTTAGCCTGTTTCCCATGACTGGAAACAGGCTAAACAGCTAGCCTGGCGCTACTGTATCTTAAGGCAGAATGGCCAAATTTCAAGATATATTTCCCTAAATTGTTGAGTTTTCGAACAAAAAATGTTAATGATGCTTTCTATCTTCATTTTCAATAGGTGAAAATTGCAGTGAGAAGGGTGTTCTGCTCCTATCTGAGTTTGCTTGTGAACGTGAAGAATGACATGGCCTTGGCGCTAACCCTGGACGTCCCCAGTCGTGCTCTCGAACGTCAGGCATTTACCGACGTCAAGCATGCTGCACAAAACAACAGCACCTCTCTCTTCTTGGTAAGAAACACCCACACTCAGCATGTTAAGCGATGATGTATTCACACTTGACATCACTTGAAACCAAAGTCATGACGCTTAAATTGGAGTAATTCTCTCTGGCTGAACATTTGGGTCTTTTTCACGTTTTCTTTAGGCTGTGACATCTTTTGTGAGGATCATCCAGCTCGGAGGCAGAGGCTACGCTCCAGCTGAGTCTGACCCACTGAGGAAACATGTCAAAGGCCTGTCTGACTTTGTTCAGTTTCTAGACAACCTGGAAGAATTACTCGGGGAGATACCCGACCCAAGGTACACAATACGCCTAATCCACTTCCAGTAGCTCCCTGTCTTGCTGATGCTTTCAAAGAAATGACTCCCGCCTTGTGACAGAAATTGGCTGTTAATGTTGGAAGGCAGAGAAGTTCTCCATTGAATTTGTATCTGTGGTTCTACAGTGTTTTAAAGTATCTTGTTTTATATACAAACCAGATTAGGCAGCAATTCTTGATAGCCACAGGGCATGGAAAGTTCTAGGAAAACTCATTGGGTTTGTTCTGGTGAACTGATCCTCATGCTTCAACAAGCGACCGTCATGGACTATTCGTTCAATCTTCTTGTCTGTGGTCCACTCAGATACTCAGAATTTCAAACAAATGACTATATTGTGGTTTATAATCTTCAGTGGTTTTCAATCTTTCAATTAAATCAAATATTTTTAAAAAGCCTGGCTCTGTCCAAGGGCATTAACAATTCCACCTACCAGCACCTTCAAAGCTCTTATAATAATACGTAAATAATGTTTGTTCGTCACGTCCAAAAACAAATATGTAAAAACGTCATTTGACTGTTTTACGAGTGGTTATGTGGCTATTGCTTGGCCCGACAATACGTTCCTGGAATCTCTGAGAGTGGTCCCCGATCATGAGTACAACAGGGTTTCTTTCAGGATTTCTTGGTCACTTTTTATTAAAATCTACTCAAACTGACTATTTTCAGCCGCCGATTAATGTACATCTGTTGCTCTTGGGAGTATTTCGAGCAGCAGAACAGTCTATGTGGGATTGAGTCTAACTGAACTACAGTCTGTGTTTGTGAATTCTTAGCAGTTTGCCTAAGTTGCTGTCGTTACTTTATTGGATTCTAATAGTCTAATATACACATATTCCATTTCCAGAGAAATCAGCCTGACCTGATAAGGGGAATACTGAGATTCCAAGAAAAGTTGAGCATGTTTTCTGGCAGCAGCTTAAGAGGAATGTTCTTTGAAATGCTTACTTCTTCCTGCAATTCAAGTACAGGTTACATTATATTTCCTAGCAGGTGGGTCAATACAATTATTTTGAATAGAATTCAATTCTGTTGTGTGTGTGGGGGGGCCCTGCTGCTACTACTAGTAGGAATGTTTACAGCCTGGATGACACTTTTGCACGAGAATCACAGCTGTGATCATTAAATCAATCTGTTCAGCTCTTTATTATTTCCTTCAAATCCCTGTAATGACTCCCATCTCTCATGATAACCCTTTGGATTGCTAAAGCATGTTCATCTTTTCCACATCAAAGCCGGTCTCTGTTTAAATAACTTGTTCCCCGTTTAGAGCTCAAGGTTTGATGATAATTCATTTCAGAAGGAGCTCCACAGATCACTCTCCACACCATTGCAGATTATATTTCGATGTCAAAGCATTTGGCGCCACAACAAAAGCGGTTATCAGGAGTGATTCTGTCGTTTAGTCATGTGAGGCTTGAATCGAGGTGAATCTGTTAAAGGCTCCCTTTGTAGCAGGCCCAGTAGCCACGTTATCTTCAACACATTGTGATGTTTGTGTAGCAGTGGATTCGACTCACGCTGCTCTTCTGAGGGTTTTCAGTTCATGCAGGCTGATGAGGCACGGGTGAACTCGGCCAACATGTGTCTTTCAACAGGCAGTGCCTTGACGCTCTCAGTGGAGTACTGTATTTCCTCATACAAACACCTTCTATGGAGAGTTCAGGGCCCCTTGTTCACCGAACATCTGTTTTCCCAAATGATTCTGTTACTGAGCCCCGCTCACTCTCATCAGAGCTGGGTCAGGGTGGGACCACCGCCTCTACACCTTACTACAAACTCTTCTAGCATATTTTTCCTTTTTTCTCTCCCCCTGCATTTTTTTAATTTTATTTGATTAAACATCGGCAGGATTACAGAACAGATTTGAGAGGTGAAACAGATAATGAGAATACTAAACAGAAATGTACGTAATGCAGGATTTGGAGAGAAAAAAACACCTAAATGCAGTTTAGATGATATAGATTTTCAGGAATATTTTGGGATTATCTATGCCTAGAATGCTCTATGCAGGTGAGATGTTCACTGTCATTGATTCCTTGGGAACCACTTTCCAGAATTTCTGAAAAAATACACATTTTAATAAGTGGTAGATGTATGTGCCTTCTGCTATTTTGTAATTGTTCCAAAACGTAGATCTTCTGGCATGCTTTAAAGCACGTGCCTGTTAGAAAAGTTAAGAAGTGATATGTGTCTATGCTTTTTGGAGCACCCACAGTGTGCGAGCATGGGCGAAAATCTCTGAAAACTATAAAGAGGAAAATCCTGGAATATGTCTGCTAGACAGTCCATCACAGAGCGCAGTGACTGTGCCCAGTGTGACTTTAACAGGGATTTGAAGCACATTTTCTGCCTCATACAGTAACTGTTAACATTGGCAAAGCAGAGTCACAGAGAAAAAAAAAGGATTACTGGATGTTACCACTGAAACAATTACTCTGAAATCTTTAAGTCGGTGTCTGATTAATTGGAAGTGAAGCTGCAGTATATCGTTTTAAGGCATTCAGAGGAAGGCCTGGCTCTTCTGTGTTTTCAGTTTTAGGAGAGAGTTATTCATGTTGGCAAATATTGGCTGAACTCTTGAACACTATTAATTCCATCCAGATGAAAACCTGTATGTGTGTACTGCAGAGGAATCTATTTCTTTTCAAAACAAAGGTAGGTTTTTGTCTCGACCTGCCAAACAATACTCCCTGTATATTTTGACTCTCATTGTTTTTATTCTCAGTGTGTGTGGAGCCCGGCTGGTGGCTGCCATCAGGGCGGTGCTGGTGAAGGGACGCAGCAGTGGAGATGCAGTGTATGCTGTGTCTGAGGAGACGACAAAGGAGCTGAAGGAGAGGATTTGCCAGCTATATCAGATCCAGAAACAGATTGCTAAAGGAAGCGGGACTGGGATAAGCCCTGCCAGGGTAATGCATAACCTCTGCTCGTTTTTGGAATCCATACAATTGTATAAAACCCACTTCATCTTCTCCAACAGTGTACTGATTGTGGTTGTGTTGTTCTTCCTCTTCAGCCAAAGGCGCACACAGTCAATCACTGCACTGCGTACGGAGGTCGGGACACTGTGAAGGTGCTGCTGGCTCTGCTGGATGAAGAGGCCCTGGCTCCCCCGTCTCAGAACAAGGCGGACCTGCTGTCTGAGGACCAGCCCGTCCTCAGTGGGGCAGAGGGGACCTGCATCCTCAACTTGTTCAGGTTGGCGCAAACACATGCAGTAGAAACTGAGACATGCCCCTTTGTATTTTTGAATGGGAGCATGTTCTTTGGTTATAGTTGTTCCCACAAGCTGTGATCCTGGGGAAAGTTTGTTTGATCATGTGTATCCCTCTGTCTGTCAACAGCTAATCTTTAAAGGTCCCCTATTATACTCTTTGTCATCAATATGGTTATAGTTCTCAGTTATATACAAAACGTGTCTCTGAAGTGTTTGGCTGAAACGCCAAACAGATCTTTGAAGCATCCCATAAACCCCTCTGTTTCAGCCCTGTTTCAAAAGTGCTGATTCTCTGTCTGTTACTTTAGATGAAAATAAGGAGCCACGCCCAGAGGTGGGGGACTCGAGTCACATGACTTGACTCGAGTCAGACTCGAGTCAAGTCATGTGATATCGACCCGAAGGTGGAATTAAACCCAGTCTGGGAAAAGTGTTGCAGTATCAGGCAGAGGTGGGGGACTCGAGTCACATGACTTGACTCGAGTCAGACTCGAGTCGCATATATTTGGACTTGAGACTTGCTTGACTAACATTGATAAAAGACTTGACTTGACTTTGACTTGGTATTCATGACTTGAGACTTGACTTGAGACAGATGACTCGAAAGGACTTCACTTTTTAAAATTAAATATTTGCATTTGTTTTTGTATTGTACGGAGCCCCTAAAGGGCAATGAAAAAAGATAATGTATCTCGTTCGCACGAGAAAGTTACCGGAGCGCTAAGTAGGAAGTGGAGCGCACAGGAGACAACTGTTGGGAAATGGCAGTGCATACATTATTTTAGATATATTTCGAACTCGGACTCTCATTCACTTCATGAAATCGCTACAGCACCAGGAGGCAGCGGGACGCGTAACTCCGCCTCTGAGAAGTGCAGCACCAATGCGCAAAGAGCTGTGCCTTTTACGCAACGCCTTCACTGTGTTTACTTTCATTAGAACAGCTAAAGAGCGACCACAGGCTGCTACGTGTTAACCACACACACCTCTACACACATCGAACCGATTAATCCCCCTATTACTCGTTTTATGAAGGAGATGTCCGGTCACTAAGGCGCATGATGTGTTTGTGCTCTGCTCAGCTCTGCTCTGTGTGTGTGTTCGGTGTGTTTGTGTGTGTCCGTCAACGGCATTTGTTTTCAAATTACCATGAACAGTAATTTACACACATCTGGCCAACTCCATATGTGGGTGTTCCCAAATGAAAGAAATTAGTTTAATCTTAATGTCGCACTGTCTGCACACACACACACACACACACATATCATGCGCACTGGTACATACACTATTCCGTTGTATTGGCTTTGATGCAATATTTCTTTAGCACAGACACAGTTAGGAAAACAATGAGACAGTGTCATATGGGAGCACCTTAGACAGACCATGGAGAAATGCTGTGACCCTGCTGAAGGGGAGCCAGGGCAGGAGGCTTAACATGTTGATGTAAAATATTTGTGTTGTACTCCTGTTATCACTTTAGAGCCCTTTTAGAACTTATAGGGTTATCATTTCAGCGCCCCACTCTCCATTGCTGTTTATGTTGAAAATAAAACTAAACTTTTCATAACCACAATATTTTAACTGATCTAAATGCGGAAACTGGGGTTATTCATCAGAATTTCGTATGACTTGACTTGTGACTTGCTTGATCTGAGCAATGACTTGACTTGCTTGACTCTGACCACAGTGATTTGGGACTTGCTTGAGACTTGTAGGTTAAGACTTGAGACTTGCTCATGACTTGCACATGTATGACTTACTCCCACCTCTGCCCACGCCCCTCTGAGAGATATTTGGTTAAAAAAAAACACAATGGTGCTCTAGGAGGAGATTCAGGTGATAAGGTGGGCGGGTGTTACTTTGGTTGGTTATTGGCTAATGGTTACACAAGCCAAAAAAACATTATGACATCACAAAGTGGCCAAAATGTGATCAGCTAATTTTTAGACAGGTTTTTATATAGATGGATCTGGACAAAAAGAGAGGGGGTCTTTGTTCCAGAAACTTTCAGAATCTCGTTACACAGAGGGGACACATGTTTATGTATAAAAGACATGAAAAAGTGAATGCAGAATATTTTGCATAATAGGTGACCTTTAATATTATACTACTAGACCAATAAACCTGATGCACTCAGTGATTCACAATTTATGAAAAACCCATTGTATCAACAGTTTGATACCTCACTTGCGGCCTCCTCTGCAATCTACTGAGAGCACTTTCCTACATACATTTAATTTAAGCACCAGTCTGTACACCATAGACGGTGAATTTCAATAGGTCTTCAACAACAATTCAGTAATTATTTTACTAGGAAAAAGACACAGAGCTGTAAATTGGATTAGACTATTTTTACTACCACAGGAGTCACTCGGAGTGGGAAAGCCCCTGAAACAGCCATTAGACCAACATGAGTCTGTACAACGCTCCACTGAAACCATATGGAGGAAAATCCTCCCACACCACACTGGAACAATTTCTCTGGTCAAACATCTGAAATAAAAATAATAGTATGAATAGCCACTGTGGTTGGTGGTGGTGGGGGGGGGGCTCTACATTATGTTGGAAGCGCATGACATTTAATGGCTGATGTCCAATTTGTTGCAAATCAGCTCAGTCTGACGCAAAGGAAAACATATTTTTACCTGTTAGAAATATGACTATGTGAAGCTGAAATGAAAACAGAACAGTTTTTAGGACCATATCACTTTCTAACTCATAAACCTCTTGTCTTTGCCCCTCAGATCCCCTGAATTGTCATCTGGAAGCTCTCCAGAGCCTCTTAAGAACCGAGTCCAGAGCCGGCTAGACCTGCTCAAACCCAAGGTAACATGGGCCCCTTCATCCAAGAGCCCCAAATCCAAACCATCAGTTACTACAAATTGAATCAGATGTACAAACACTGAAAATAATGTCTTTACATCCTGTAATTTCTCCCTGGTATTATATTATTTATTTGCTTAGCTGAAGCTCACATCTTAACTGACTTCCACCGTTCCCGTTTGCACAGCTGTGTTTTAGCTCTTAGTGTTGGTTTGAGGGTGCCGTTTAAATCCGTGGCATAAAACGACTTATTCGTGGGGGATTCAAACCATTAACCAGTCCTGATGATGATAAGTTATCCTGTTCCGGCTCTGGTCCATTTGCTTACAGTGCACAATATAACACACTGTATATCTGATATCAATATCTCCCTCTTCCCTCCTGGCTGTAAGCTCAGCTGTTCTGTTTTTGTTCATTGATATTTTTTGAGGTCAGCGTGAGAGAATCTGTCACTATGATTATGCAGCCTTGGTTGCAAAAACAGTGGGCCAACTTAACTGATGTGTTTTAGCAATTCAATCTATGTAAATGGATTCATTTAATCCGAATTGATTTAGCACTTGCAACTCTTTGCATACAGTTAAGTGGTTTAAGTAACTTGGTACATTTACCTAGTTACCATTTTAAGGTACTGCTACCACTTAAAAGTATAATATTCCACTAAAAGGTCGACCGATGCTGTCATTTCAAAACTGATGCCTATAGTAAAAGCATAACATTAACTAAAATACAGAAAATTGCAGTATTGAAATATACTGGTTTGACATGATTATAGTTTGTCTACAAAAGAATATTATAATTTTTTGTTCGGTTTTAAAGGAAACACAAGTTTTGCACATTAAAGTCTATACAGTTCGGACTATGTGAAAAAGGTTGTATGTAAGTGGATACTATCATAACACTGGAAGCATTGGCTTTGCATTATGGGTAATGTAGGCACCAGGTTTTAGTGGAGTTCATTTTATGTCCCACAATGTTATAAATGTACAATTCTAAATTAGTTAATGCTTTTTAAGGGATTTAAATCAAGGTTTTTGTAAAGGGAAAACAAATCAATCGACCTTCATGCTTCTTCTTATTTCCACCACTGTATACACTCCACAATTGCTGAGTCACCCAAAAAACTACTGACAAGACCTGCTTTAGATTTGAAGGTAGGACTGGTCTTTTTGAAATAAAGCAGCTCCACTATGTGAACTCCTTTTGAACATGTATGCTAAACACATTTTGTGAAATGGCTCCTTTATTTGATTGCGCTAGCAGATGTCATTTTAGCTCCCCACAATCTGGCCGCCTTCCTGTTTGAGTGCGCTGTAATGGTCCCTGGGCAGCTCACCGCTTCCTGAACTCTGCGAGCGGAAGCTTTCTGCATCAATTTCACTTTGAAGATGCCATATCAGTCGCGTAATTCGACTAGCAATGGGAAAACCTGAAAGGTTATTGTTTCCTGTTGTCTGCTGAACAACTTCATCCCAGACTTCTCCAGCGGTTTCATCATGCACTGACGTCAACTGGCACACACAGAGATGGACAGATTTAGTTTCTGCTTTTGGAACCTTTCCAAATCCTTGTCTCTGTGCCACAGACGATCCGAACACAGACATAACTATTTGTTTTGCTCCTCTGTGACGTCAGTGAAGGTGTTTGTGAAAATATCCATTCCATTATCTGGTATCGGTCTCTGATGGTGATAATAGTAATGGTGCACCTGTTCTCACTTCATATACCTGCGTGTCAAGAAGCAAAGCTGCAGAAATAGCTTGCACCTGTTTTGGAAGTACATCAGGAATGTGTTGGTCAGGTGTCTCCAGCGTGGGGTCAGTCGGTTTGCGGAGGTTATTTCAGGACAGGCATCTCCTCCCCAACGAGGGCTCTCTGACCACATGGTGCCATGTTGAGCTCCCACCTGTTGTAATTGGATTAGACGTTATCCGTCAGTCATAGTTTGGCTGTGTTCACTCTTCCGTCCCCTCCCATTGTTTCAGGGGCATTCCAGATATGTTTTATTTGCATGCAACCAGGGCAGCATACATTTTTAGCTCCACTATTAAAGTGTGCCTTGTTCCTAGGGTAGCTGTTGTTGTAGGTGCTCCTTTTAAGAAGTTCTTTTGAAAGGCTCAAAGGCTTTGATCCCTTTTGTGCTTTATGGACCCACCCAGCTTTGTTCACTGTATGCCTGAAGGGTGAAATCCTTGGATTGTGATAATCCCAAGCAGGCGTAGATCAAACAGTGGTTGTAAAGCTGTGGATCTGCGTGCCCCAGGGCCAGGATTGTAGCCTTCGGTATCATTCACTTTCTTATAACCAACTAGGCTATCCAAAGAGGCTTTTAATGAGGTGCTGCTCTACTGTCTCAGACATGTAATTGTGATAAGATTGGAGAAACAGAATGTCCTGTTTTAAGTGCTGTAATGCTGGGCTAGTGTATGAACTGTCAACCCTTTTATCAGTGAGTAAGGCAACTGACAAATATTTTCATAACTAATGATTACTTCCTAGAGTAATATTTTAATTGTTGAGTCTCAGAAAAAAGAAGCAAAACATTTCCAGCCCAGTTTTCTTAAATTATTAAAGGGGAAAAAACAGGAAACTCCATATTTTAGAGGTTGAAAACGGCATTATCACGGTTTTCAAATAATTTCTTATTTATTTTTCCTGAATAGACTGTGTGTGGACTGTAGTTGTAAAGTCTCACATAAAATAAAACATATATTTATAGTTTTTGCCCCAACAAAATAAAAGTATAATTTGAAGGCCATGTACTTGGCCACAAGTCCAGAGTCATTTATACTGATCAACAACCATTTTACATTTCTGTTTTTAGGTGAAATCTGTTGACAATAGCACAGATATTCAATGTTCCTGGAGGATGACTTTTAAGGGCTTTGGGGATCCCCTGCCATCTAATTTATTTAGACATTCTTGAAATAGCAGTGTGTTCAAGGGGGCTTTTTTGTTTCAAACATCAACAAGTTTCTTTCTGTTCATCCAGCCCAAAGAGGGGGTCATTCGATCCCAGTTTGCATGCACATACAAGGATGAAGAACTGCCACTCAACCGTGTGCTGGAGTTCCCCAGCAGCAGCCAGATGCCCACCTGTGTGCACCCAGCACCCAAACCCAAAAACACCCCCCCTGTGGACGAGGAGTGCAGCTCTGATGTGGAGGTCAAAACCAAAGGTACAAACTCAAGCTTAAACTCTTCAAATCCTATAGTTACTTTCTGTGCTCCACTACATGCTGAGAAAAGCTTAAAATGTCAACACAAGCGGTGCAGCATTCCCTTTCTGCTGGGATAGATTTCTGTTTCCTCTGACGCACACAGCTGGATGGAGGCCCGGGCACGCCTTCTCAGCTCCAGCCTTGAACCTTTCACAGCCCCGACCCTGGGACTGGTACTTACCATTACCCATTAAACGAATCCCCATTCTATAAAACCTGCTCACACCCACAACTGTAGTAAAAACCCAAAAGCACACACACACACTCACAGACTTTTTGCCCATTTCCCCTTCTGTCTTTTGTTCCATGGGAATTCAGGCTCAGCTCCATCGAGTTACATGACAAATGTTACATTTCAGCTCCACAGAATAAACACACTGCCTGCCTCCACTAGCGGCTAACGTCAGCAAATTCGTCACAGCATTTCCCCCGGTTTTTCTCTACCAGGTTGTCACACTTGCTTTTGCTTTGTTTCAATCTTTCCAGCCAAGTCTACATCTGAATGCCTGAATAAGGAGCAGAGCGGTGTGCAGCAGGGGGCTGTTCTTGGGCCAAGAAGTGGAAATGCCCAAAAAAGAGTTGCAGGCCCGGGCATTAAAAAGAAAACTGGCACTCAGGCGCAGGGAAAGGGCAACAAGAGGAAGCAGGTTGATTCAGACCAACATGAAGGGTCGGAGAACGAGCCCCCAGAGAAGAAGCAGCTCACTGCTGTCTCAGTCAAAATGCCTGGCAAGAATGTCAGTAAGGCCTTGAGTAAGAAGAAGTTGATAGCTGGACAGGGAAAGCTTACAAGCTTCTTCAGGGTCTAATGAATCATTTTTAATCATTTTATGATGCAGCTAAATGTTATTCAGTGTGTGAATGTTCCAGTTAAGGCTGCAACTAATCATTACTTTCAATCTCAGTTGATCTGTTAGCTGTCGTTTCAGTGAATACCTTTTGGAAAATGTTTGTTAACTTGATCAAAGATAGATGACGGTATGTTAAATTCGAAGCTAGCAGGTTTTACGCTAATATAGCATAGAGCAGAGCTTTGCTAAGCTAACTGACAACCCGTAGCATTTAGCATATAGATCATTTTAAAGTTTTAAGACATTCTGTTAGTTTTTCATTTGTTTGAGAAAATCATGGCACATTCATTTTCTATTGATTTACTATGCAAATCATGGTATCCTCACTAATGTACCCACTCAACAGTGAAACATGTGGGTTTATCAGTTGATAGCAGATCATTGGAAACTTGGCCAGCACATTTTCTTTCATCAAGAAAAGTCCTACTTGAAATATTTATATCACTAGTTGTACAGTTTATTTAACTTGTTCCTCAGCAAAATCAAGTATGTAAATAAGATGCAGACTTTTCACTTTTAATAAACTTTTATTTTGTTTTACATGTTTGAGCTCTCATTTTCAACAAGGGAATGTATTTCAGTGTAACACATATAAGGAATAAATTGTACAGCACTTTCAGTGCAGGAGGGCAGCTCGGGGGGGTGGGGGGAGCCTTTATGCTTCCCAGCAGGGTCGGTACACTCTTCCTATCATACATCGCATAACTAGAAGTAAAAAATAAAGAACGTTAGAACATTTAGCAAAAGTTAATATGAACATCAAGACATTTGATCCTGATTTTATGTATTCCACAAATAGTGGAATAAAAAAATACCCAATGAAACAACCCCCATCTCTCAAAGACAATTAATTAAAAAATATATAATTTTAAGAAATGTTTACATAGGTTTATAATTGTACATTTATTTTGTGAATTTAAATAGATATACAAATTACCATAGGGATATTGTAAAATATTTTTTAAAAAGCACATTTCTGGACAAAGCAGATATGAAGGAGTATAACATTTCTAAATCTTATCTTCACAATAATACACAATCATGGGTTTGGCAGGTACTTACTGTCAAGGTCAGTGTTTCGGCGGTCAATTTTCAAAATGTGCTCAGCGGGGGTGCGACTCACGCTTCGGTCTGTGAGCAGAGGAAAGCTGCGGGCGAAGGCTGGGTTCAGCCCACGAATACTCTGCCCTCTCAGCCCCATGTCCTGAAACACAGCATTGATCAGTATCACATGTGACACTTCAAGACCACACACATTTCCGCACAGCAGGATCTGAACTCTGGATCATCACAGTTGCAGCAACAGCTTTTAAAGATTATCTTTTCACTTGCAGGCAGCACAGGTGTTGGATCTGCCTTAACCCAGCTGATCCAAGCCACAGGAACCCCAAATGGAAGAAATGTGTTCCCCTGTTTTTTATTTTATCACAGTGGACCATTTCTTCCACCCAGATGGCTTTGTTCTCTCCAACATGGCTGCCTGTTCCCCATTACCGCAGAGATAACCACCATGTTCATGACACACAGGAGACACAACCGCCAGATAAACTCTTAACACATCGCAGCCAAGCGTTTGAGGGAACACAGATATATCATCATTCTTCCCACTGTCATTCCAATAAATCTTTATAGGCTTGTGATCATTTGACCTTTTTCAGCTTTACCGGTTTTCCAGTGCTGCTGTAAAAGTTTTTTATAGCAGTGTATGAAATATTGACTTAACAGTAGACATGGGGATGGCGACCCATTGAAAGGGGTCAAATGTTCAGTCAGAGGATGGAGATAATCTGCTCTCTGTTTTTGAACTACAGTTTACTGTGGTTGTTTATGGAAAGAAATGTCGTTCCACAAATAGTTATGATGCATGACTGTTTTGGTGGAGTTCAGTGGGTGGGTGCAAGCTGAGACTAGCTAGATACAGTACATTTATTTGGGATAAGTTAACCAATAGTATGCCAGGTAACCGGTACATTTAGATTGGATTAATTTGAAGTAGAAATAATGGATTATAAGGGTTGATTCAAGATGCTCACAACAATAAAGAATGACAACTTCTCCATCCATAAAGCAAAAGTCATGTTGAAATCATTAGTAGAGATTTATCAACCACTAATAAAGATAACAGCTTAACACTCATAGCCATTCTGCTTTCTAGATACATTTCCGAAGAGTATCTTTTAAAATAATAAAAATATCTTTCTTTTGTTGTGTTTGGTAACAAAGAGAAAATCTGCTTAAAACACACCAACTCAAAGAATGGAATTACTTAGCAATATAAATGATAAGGTTGGAAAGCTAGCTTTGTAACTGCAAACTAATACTTTACTAGAGTTAAAACATTTCCAGGTTGCATTTCTATGTTGATAACTTGTTAGAATTGTGTATCTTAAAATGTACAGTATTTTATGTTAGAAGCTATTTGTTAACAACCTCAAACTTGAAATCAAGCTCTGTGATGTGACACTTACGGAGACGATGATGATTTTCGGACGCCCGTCTTCATCCCTCTTGTTGGTGTCCAGCACAAAGTTCCGTCTGTAGGCAGCGGGAACCAAGGCGGGCTCATCCTCCAGGAAGAGGCCATCCTGCTCCATCACTCCGTCTTCTACTTTAGCTGCAGGCATTGCTACAGTGACATAGTGGCTGCTCAGCTCTGAGAACAGCACCAGAGTGTACAGGACAGAGTAGACAGAGATCATGGTATCTACAAGGTTTAGTTCTGTTCTGTTTGACTGATCTTCTCTCAGCTGACGAGTGGTGATACTGGGCTCACAGGCGTCTTTTTATATTTTCAGTGAGAGGGTTCTTTGCTTACAATTATAACTGTTAAGTGTCAGAAAGCGTCATGTCTCCTGCAGAGGTGCATCCGTCTTCAAAGCCGAAGGTCACAGGAAGATTAAAGGTCATGTCATTTCATTGATAGGTGTTCCTTCGTGGAGAAGAAGGTGAATGGCTCTATTGTGTCTGTTTAGAGATGTGATGAATTCAAATGGATAATGGTGGTGAAACATGGAGGGCTGTACTTTTCAAAGGATCACAGAGCAGCGTCAAGAAGGCTCACATCAGGTCAAAGGACAGGAAATAATCATCAATCTTTTTCATCAAAATCCACATGCTGAAAAGAACCCAGCAGGTGAGAGGACATACACTGACAGAGCTGAATTAAAGACTCCTTTTCATAAGTTAAAGAATGTAATTTTCTCTGGAAGGCATCGTCTGAATGTACATGGCTTAAAAATACCCTACAATGAACCATCCACAAAGGTCATTTACGTGAATGAAAGCCTCTAAACCTTAGCCGCTGCTGAGAGCAAAGATAACTTACTAATCCAATAAAAGAAAAATACATTTAAAAGGACATTTTAGGAAATGCCAATTGAGAGTCAGAGTTAGCATGCTAACATGCTAAACTGCACTGGTGAACAAAGATAACATTACACCTGCTTAAAACCAACTTTTCACAATGTTAGCTTTGTCAATGTGGCTATATTAGCATCCAAACCCTTGGATAAAGCTAATGGGGAACCCCCCCCCCCCCCCAAAAAGAAGTCACATTGAGAAAAGCCATGCCACAAAATCCAGTGGAAATGTGCGGGGCGGGAGGATAGCGTCACAGAGGCGTTAGAATGGTTGAAGATGTTTCTCTTTTTATGGCATAGGCTACACTTGTTATAGTAGAGATTAAACAAACATGATAGAAGATGTTAATTGGAGAGCTTTGAGATACTATAACTGATGGTTGAATCAATCTTCTCATCTAACTCTCGACAAGAAGGCAAATAAACATATTTCCTACTACTAACTATTTATTTAAATAAGAATGTGATATGCTTCAGCTCTGTAATCAGGCCTTGGGAGCATTTGATCGACAAGCTCCCACACCATCATCAGCTAACAATATTAAGGCGTAGGCAAGCAGAAACCAAAGGGCCTTAATGTTGACATAGCTCTTCGCGGCTCAAAAGGCTTACCTTATTAACATCACAGGAGCCGTAGCACAGGGGATGGAGAGCCGGGGCATGAATAATAGCTATTGAACTCAGCTGAAGTGATTTTACTTGGAGCGGTCAGCCTTTATTTTGTAAGTATTATTGTTGGAGGGCGAGGACTTCTACTGAAGAACTGAACTGACTCCACAGGGGCACGGCCGTTCCAGCAGAAGCACAACTGAACTTGTGAGCTTCATGCTCTGTTGTTGTAACCTTTTTCGCTCTTTCTCTCCTTCTGATAATCTCCCTTCCCATTTTCCCATATTTCTCCTGATATAGGCAGCATTAACGTACTGATATGGACAGCAGACAAGTCAATGCCTCCAAATCCAAAGCTTCTTGGCTCCTCGTCCTTTGCATACTCGGGGAAGATTCAATGAACTTTGAGCCGTGGTGAAGGACATAATCTGGTAACGGTGATTTCTCCATGTTCTGAATTTTCTTAGAAACCATTACCATAATTCTTTAACAAAGAACATTAGCAAAAAAGCCAAGATTCAAATAATCTTATGAGCAACAGATGTGAAATCGGTGGGTATCCAGAAACATTATTTTCTAAATCTTTATGTTTCCACAACAAAGCTTGCAAAATCTTCAACGTGTGCCAGTAAAGTTTATTTAACTACTGATTGCGCTGTCTCTTATTCATATTTGGTCTTGTTTGTATGCGTTGTAATTTGGTCCAGATTTGATTCAGCATCGTAAATGGTTCAAATGTTTTATTTGAGGAAAGCTGCAGGGGAGTTTTCTTCATTGGCTGCTTGCATCCCCTGTCAGTTGCCATTGCTGTGTTTTAATCACACCACCTACAGCTTTTATGCACCAAGAGACCTTAGAAGTATGGGCTCTATGACATCAGTAGAAGAAATGTTTTATAATGATCAGTGGGAAACACATATATGTTTCTCTCCCTGTATTGACATGCTGCCTTTTATCACTTGTCTTCTAATTGAAAATATAAAACAGTGGCGCAGCAGAAGGAAATGTGATGCCCTGATGCTCCGCGCATGATGTCTGATATCTGTGTGTTACTGCTGAGGAGACTTGAGTTGTGCCAGAGGCCAGCGTGCTGCATTCAGCAGAGATGCGGGTGCAAAAGAGGGGACCACATTTTGGGCAGTTTTTTTTTTTTTTTGCCCAGAGAACAGGCCATGGTTTCCTGGAACAATGCAGCTGATGAGAGTCCCTCCAAGGAAAATAAGGCTCTGACATCATGGGTTCTTAAAGCACACAGCTGAGCCAACACTCTCTCCTGCTATAATCAAGCCTCAGTGAATTTCCACTGTCGACTGAAATTGAGAAAGAGGGAGAATCTCCTCCAATGGTTTGGACTAACACTTTCCTTTTTTGTCTTTCACAGAAGCTTTTACCAAAGTCCTCACATCCCGTTGTGGCACGAGGCTCAAGGTGCACTTGTTGGACTCAAGGTGTGTCTGTTTCCTTTTACATCTGGCCTTGGCTCAAAATAAAAATAAAAACAGCTACCTGTTAATTTGTAATGATCCTCTTGTCACAAGCCAACGCTGGATGCTAGCCTTCAGATTTGAGAGTTTCTGTGAAGAAACAAATGCTGAATTGACAAAATTCAAAAAAATGAATGGTTGAAGACTGATGAAGCCTTACAACCACTTTTCCTGTAAAACAACCAAAAGAATAAGTAGTGAAATTGGTGAGTGTAGTAAAACAGACCACAAGGTCATTCAAAAGACAATTGTGTGCTTAAGATGAGGAGTTGAAGAATGTGGAGAGATTGTGTTTCAAAGCTTGGTCCAAAATCTGTGTCCTCAGATGCACTGTATCCTGAGTGTGCGCAGATCAATGGGAAACCGATTGTTTTTTTCAGTGTGGTTTTGAGGTTCTTAAAACATCATTGCATTGCACTTATTGAGTCACCATGTAATCCAAAATTAGCACATATAAGAGGATAAACAGAGCATTTTCAAGACATTTTGGGGTTTGTATTTTATTATAATTACAACTGGATGATACCGAAACATCCGTATTATATTTTGGCTTATTTGTGATGGCTTGGTTACTCGCCACTGGAAAGGACTCTCTGCACACATTTTCTCTCAGATTTATTTGAACTCTAAATCTTGCAAGCTTGCAGCCTGCAATTGGACCATTAGGGTGAGATAATTGATTCTGTATTAGCCATAGAGACGGATGAAATAACATCCAGGATGGCCGGGACCTCGCCAACCTCCCTGCTGCTGCTCCACATTTTGATATCCGCCGCCTGCTGTGCGCCGGCCAGAGAGATAATTTATTAGGGTTTTATTCTTGTCCAACATTCATCCGTTGAGAAAAAATGCTGACAGTGAGTGAGTTAGAGCTCCGTGCTGTCACTGCGAGCATCCTCCAAAGAGCTGAACATGCAGCTCCGGCCTCTGGGAGCACCACGCCCCGCTGTGTTTGCTTTGGCAGACCCCGCCACCTCTTAGGAAGTATCACTTTGTCATTCAGCACACACTCAGCTTCACAGTGCACGATGCACAGAGATTCAGCTTGAATTACGGCTTCATATGGCAAAGATTTCTTAAAAGATTTGCACATGCTTAAGAGAAAAACCTCAGCTTTGGGTTCATAAAGGTTGTAGAGTTTACCAGTGTGTGATGTTGCATAATATGCCTTTGGAGCAGGGAATCTTGACTTGTTTTGCACAAAATTAAAGGGGCTCATGGGCAAGTGATATAGTCTATAGTCCATTTTTATGCTTTTTAATCCACTCAGGGCATAGTATTTACATTGAAAGCACAACATTAGCATTGCAAATCAATTAATTTTCATTCTGCATAAGAAAATGGTCAGCATGCCACTTGGCTGCTATTTTGAACCAAATGTGGCCCCCAGGTTGAGTATCACTGCTTTACAGGATGATATTCCAAGGTGATTTTAAAAGTGTGCAGTGGAATCACATAGAGCTGAACCCCCTCACATTGTTATGTTTTAGCCTTCTACTAAAATCATTTAAACTAATTTCCCACCTCATCTCAGATTGTGCAAATTGATTGAAAAGTTTCTGGGGTATAAAGCAACAAGCTGAACAGCTATTTTGCAAACTCAAACATGATTTCCAATGTCTTTCACGAAGGAGTTGCAGGAATGGTTGTCCTTCTGGAAGTTTCTTGCATTCACAAAGGAGCTCTGAAGCTCAGTTAAACTTAATTTCTTGGTCACGTCCCTTAACAAGGCCCTTTTTCCCCTAATGTTGAGTATTGCCTGATAGACAACTCTATAGGGTGCTCTTAAATAATCAGATGTGAGGCCTTTATATAATCAGGTGTGTGCCTGATCAATCAGTTGAACTCAGGACAGGTGGACTCCAATCAAGGTGAAGAAACAGCTCAATAATCAAGCTAAATGTGAGGCACCTGTGTCATAGCAAAGGACCCGAATACTTATTTCAATGTGAAATGTCAGTAATTTCGTCCTTTTAAATCAGAAAATATGTAGCGTATGTACATGCTGCATTAAAAAAGACTCTCCAGGCATTTATGTGATGTTGACAAGTGGTTTATTCAGCAGGAATGGTGAACAATTTGTCAGTATTTTTTTCTACAGAAGGCAATAGAGCACCAAAAATAACAGCGCTCTAATCAAACAGTTTTCTTGGACAGTGATGGAAATTATGTTTTCTCATTTAACACCTCAAAGAGTTGTGAATGTTTCAGTACCACTTTTTAAAATGTATTGATCATTATTTCACACAGGTCACAAACAAAAATGGTTGAATCATAGTCACATCATTTGAAGTTGGTTGCTGTAGCTATATCAGACACACAGAAGGACTTTTGTCTGGCTAACCTTGCTATTTATGACATTATAAGCTATATTTCAGGTACCAGAGACAAGTTTTTGGAGGGCGTTTTGTAGCTGCAGTGCACTTTGTACTTCAATTGATATTGAATGATTTGATTCATGGCATATTAATGCTGACTGAGGCTTTGTTCTATTAAAAAGTATTTGGTTTGTACTTTATATCTGAAAATCTTCGAGAACCAGAATGGCTCTAAAAGCAACTTTGTTAACATTTCAGCTGCCATGTCGATTATATAATTTGTAAATAATTAAAGAACAAAAGTAAACTAGCAAATTCCTATGTTGACAGATAAAAACAGACTTTTTCACATTGATCGTTGAAAATATTAGTCATTTAACTGATATAGTAAAATGTTTAGTAAAAAATGCTTAATAATTTCCGTGTTTTAGGACTCAGCCCACAATATCAAGCTACATCCAGAAGCCAGTTAGCTTTGTTTGGCATAAAGAATGAAACAAGCGGGATAGCTCTCGTGGCTAGCTTGCCAAACAGTACCCCTACAACGTACATACTAATCTACAAATGTGTTTGTTAAATCTGTAAGTAAAACAACTGAGGTGTAAAAACGACACCATGTGGCGTATTTTGTTGACATTTCTACAAAGCAAAACTAGATGATCCTCCTGTTACCAATCTGTGTGTTTAGCTAAGCTAACCGGCTGCTGGCTGAAATCTTGTGTTAAACAGAGGAATCTGAAATTGCTTCTAATCTTCTAATTTGACTGATTTTCCAAATTGTCCCAATATTTTTTTTAAGCTAAACGCTGTGCAATATTAATAAGTAAATTGGCTGACATTATAGCTCTTCTCTAACTGTGCTCTTGTTACACTACAGGTTAGCGTGACACAGATAACATATTGGTGTCGGACTCATGAAGATCTTGGGAAATAGAGGCAAGTTTAATTTGCACGTATATCATAATTACAACTTGTAGCCACAGTGGCCACTGTTCAGCAAAAGTAGTGTAGTCTCGCGATAAGTGTTTTTAATAATCAATGATTTGGCTTCCAGTGAGGTGCATGTAAACACACATCTTAGGACAGACAAAAGCACACCATGACTTTTATCAATCTCAATACAATTGGAAGAATCACAGTTCACAGTACTTTTGTCAAGTTATTTGGCATAAGGGATGTATATTGAGAAAATAATTCAAAAACAGTAGAAAAAATAGCATTTTGCCTTCTTGGGACCACAACATTGTATTTTCTTGTCTTTTTTTATCTCCATGCATTCACAGATTTCACACAGATACATTTACTCGCTTACACTACTACCTTACTTAAACAGCTTACAAAATAAAACACTATTAAAATGGTGGCCACAAGGCTGTGCAAAAGGGAAGACCTCCAATGTAAGCCCTGCCATCTGTCCGACTTAGCCATCTCTTGCAAGTAACAAACTACAAAATAGCACCATTATACAGTGGATAGGATTCTTAATACAGTTTTATTATATGAAACTATCATGTACAATGAATGATAGCGATGCATAGGTATAACATAAATGGGAGTACTGTTTGATTATACACAGGCAGAGGAGGCAGAGATGAGATGTCTTGGGCGGTTTGTGACTTTAAACCTGCATGGAGGCTTGAGCAAACAGCCGGGGCGGTCAGTCCTCATGCAAGGACTTCTTAGAACTGGCTTATCATGAAACGTGTGTGTGTGTGTTTGTGTGTGTGTTTGACTCTTGCTCACAGTTACACAACTCTCATTTACACTGTGTGTGCTTTGTCTGTGGGTTTGTTAAATGCGTGCTGTATCTCATATCTCCAGGGAGACTTCTCATTTTGATTTGCAATATTAACTCAATTGATTTTTCAGGTGGACTTTGCAACAGATGCTGTGGAGTTTTGTTGTTCTCAAGCCGTAATGGCAGGTAATGCAGTCCAAGCGACAACTGAAGTAACACGTTTCTCGCCCTATCGAAACTAACATAATATATCAGCCCAAGATCGATATCTATCTTTAAACCTCCCATCTTTGTCCCTATTGGAAGAACCTCACCTTCTTTTGCTTCAAACTCAGGTGTTGACAGATTTGGGAAAATATTGTTCCAGAACAATGTTCTACTCTTTTTTTGAAAGCTTGTTGACTTGCCGTGACTAAACTTTCATGACTTAACCTTGAACACAGGCCTCCACTCAGGGACTGGATTGTTGACAGAAAATTTGATTTGGCCACAACAAACATTTTTGCCTGATTATCGGAATTCCACTTATTCCACTGACGTATGTCCAATGCACTTTGAGTCCACTGAACGACCCCTTTCTAAAACCACACAAGCACCATTTAATGAATAGCCAACACACTAAATATCAATTTATCTTCAGGTTAATCTTCCTTAAATTCCTCTCCAATTGGGCTTGTTTGTAGTTATAAAAGTTTTGGAATTTTACACCCAATCTTCAGGTTTGTAACACTTCCTGAAGATTTCGAGGGACCTTTAACCTTGACAGAAACACTGTGCTAGACTTTAAGAATTAGGGATTTTAATTTGACCCAAATATTACAATGTTTAAATGTTAAAAGTAAACCACCTGGTCTTTGTCCTTTAAAGCAAACCTTGATTTTACAAATTCTCATGCTGCATAAAAACTCTGACGGTAAGATAATCAGATGTTAACTGGGGTAGTAACTGTTATGACCGGTGAAAAAGTATCCTGTGAAACCAAAGGAGTGAATTAATCCACTCTCTCAGACTGAATGAATTTACCTCCGTTAAGTTCAGGGGACAGGATGGACAACTCATTCAGAAGCACAGCCTGCTGCTCTCTGATTGGCTGATGCTAAGATCCATTCCAACCTTTTCTGAAGCCAGGGGATGCTGCAGCCAACACATGGAGGTATAATAAGCTCTTGTTTGTGTCTCAGCAGCTAAACTAGTCTTTTACATTGCATTAACAAAGAATTCCTCCCGATATGGAATGGTGCAGTGTATAAAATAATCACAAGATTCCTCATCAAACCCTTAAACACCGCTTAGCTTTCAGGTTTTAATCATTTTTAAGAGCTTTCCGGACCTTTGTTAGCATCATTTTTGTTTTGTTTTACAGTGAACCATTCCACAGGGGTACCAGGTAAGGCCACTCCCTTCTCTCTTCCCAAGCAGCTGGGCATTTGTCCATTCGCTTCTTCCCTACATTCTGTAATTTCTGCCCCCCGTGTTGCCTCGACTTGAGTTTTTCTGATGCACTTCCTGCAATGAAAGAGAAACGCATTTTAGACATTGAACAGAGACACCGTAGAGACAGGATAAAATAAGCAGGCTTTGGGACAGATGTAGGAGTTTCTGTATCTACAATCTTTGGATGGTGAAAACAATACTTGGTCACAGAGGTAAGTACTTTCCTTAAGTCAGGAACTTTTGAATAATTGGCCTGCGAAGCAATAAGAGTTTGCTATCAGGATAACAAGCTGTAGGATAAAATGTCAGTCCAATGAGACATTCTTCAGATTTTTGGGCATTGGAATAATTGGCCATTAGAATAATGGGCCATGAGAATAACTGCTAGTTCCAATATTTAAATGGAAAAAATATATAAACAAACTATACAAATGTGAGGGTAATGAAAAGATTAACAAAGAGATGAGTGCTTTGAAAGTCACTGCACACAGATATGCACTGAAGGTGATAGGCTTCATATCTGGACCATGCATGTGTCAGTCTGTTTATGGTGAGACGCCAGAATTTCCGCACATAATGTACAGTAGCAGAGTGGAAATTCTGCCTGGGGAGCAGGAGTGCTACTGGGTCTACCACAAAAACCACTTAGTTCTGTCTCTTGCTAATGGTTTTCTTTTTTGAGAGAAGGGTAAAAAGCACAGTGGAATCTTAAAAGGATCACACTCTCCTGCAGGTTTGCAACTCGAGGATGAAACAGAGTCTGCATTTAGATCTCACGTTGTCTTTCTCGGGCCAAGAGACAAAGATTTCAGAACGGAGATCTAAAAAATAACATGTACAAAAAAGGTAGCCAACAACTTGCATACCTTGAAGGAAGAATGACTATGTCCAGGTAAAGGTCTCTGTGGAAAGAAAAGGAAGATATTTAGATTAGATGTATTCATTTGACTTATAGGCCTACAGCAAGTTAGTAGCAAACTTGAACTTACTTACTGACCATTTAAAGTAACTGAATTAGATAAGAAGTTTGAGACCACTCCAATTTAAAGCTGAATAAACACTGTAACCACAGCCTTCAGCTAGTTAGCTTAGCTTAGCATAACGACTGGAAACAGCTAGCCTTAGTAGGCAATATCAGAAAGTGCCAGGCGTTTTTACCTACTATCAATTTGTAAGCTTTGGGTTAGGTTATCTATTCAATTGGATAAAAGAGTGGTATCAATCTTCATCTAACCCTTAGAAAGAAAACAAATGGATATCAAGTATGCATGCTACGACAGAAGCTAACAAAACATTCATATTTTATTTTTCTTACACATTTCCTGAAGAGTACATTTTTTCAGAGTATATCTGTTTGATGCTGTGCTCACCTTCTTGTTTTTTGTCTTGTCTGGCTGCTGTGCTGTCCTACGCTCTGTGCCCTTGTCCACTTTGTGCCCTGCGGTACTAACCTTAGGTGCTCTGGGCAGGTCTGTGTGGCGCTGGGCCCGCACAGAGCGGGCAGCCTTGTTAGGCTTGACAGGTGCACAGTACATCTCCAGGCGCCGCAGCTCACAGCTTTGGAAGCAGCACTCGTCCACAATGCCACGTGACCGCCGTGCATTGGGGCCATAGCCTGTTGGTTTACCTGTTTGAGAGGAACAGCAGAAAGAGCAAAGTAAGTTACATTTGGGCAAATACAAAGCTGGCGATTATGGAAACTGCCCATTGTTCTGATGGTATTATTACAAAACCCCAATGTGAGGGTGAATGATTGATTGGACTGAAAACCTGTTTGTCTGAAGTCTTGCTTTTGCTGAAGTCCAGAACTCTTTGTTCTAAATGTACCAAGACATTTCGGTGGTAAATCTCATTATGACAGAAAGTTTAACAAACATAGCAACAGTTACTAAGGGGTTTTAGAGATCAACTTAAGATCATTTTTTTTACTTCTACATTGCTCTATCAGGGTTAGCAGATTTAATCAAACTAATTGTGGCTAGTGGCCAAACCCTATGCTTGTAATAAAGCAGTGATAATGGCCAGGTCAGGGTCTGATTCCTCTGATGTATGAACAGCCTTAATGACATGGATTTCTTCCACGTATAGTTTACAGTGTATCACATTGCACACTATGGACACTTTTTTGGCAGCTGCTTCCCTGTAAAAAAGGGGCCGCAGTCACCCAAACTTTGAGAAAATCACGCTCAGCCATTTTGGCCCAGGTATCTTTTACACAGAGGCTCGTCCAGCGGGGCCAAACCACAGGCCCTCTGGGTCTGATCAACCTGCAGAAACAGCCAGGCAGTCTTGCAGGCCTCACCCCCATTGGCTCTGCCGCACTGTTCATTCACATTTTTATTTGGCAGAAGCCCTAGCCCCCTGGAGCCTCTCTGGTAGAAAATGGGTGCAAAGACGGTGGCATGATGCAGCGTGTGTACAAGTTTAGTAAGAGATGAGGTGGAAATGTTTTATGTATATTATCACTTAAAGAATGTATAAAACCTTATTTAAAGGTGTGATACTCTAGTTAACTGAGTGGCCACATCAAGTTACCATGACGCAAATATTCACTTCCTCTTTCAACTCCCTTACCCCCCAAAACCCACCCTCTGTTGGTGGCCTTTGGAAAAACGCAGACTCTCCATTAACAATTCCCTACTCACCTTGAGCAATATAGCCCTGATGGGCTTTTCGCTGTTACCAAATAAAATAATAATAATTTAATATGGCATTTACAAGGAGGAAATGCCTTTCCCTCTCAGAGTTAATAGCTCTTGGCTCAGAAGCCTGCCAGTGCTGACAAAGTGCATTAACTGCTGCTCTCTGTCTGCCTTGTCCTAACAATGTTGTTCTGGACAGAGAGAAGCTTTCATTCAGAAACAGAAGCATCTTTCTCCTCGGACCCCCAGACACAAAGCAGAGTGGAAGGTAATGGAGGTGTGAATGAGAGGGAAGGAAAGGGGGGCAATAGGGAGGCTTTCGTGTTGCACATCAGGTAGAATGATGCTAAAAATACATTGTGCACCTGCATTATTTAGGGAACAGGAAGAAACAGAATCACACAGATCTCAAACTGCCAAAAGGGATGTATTCAATGAAATATGGAGATGACAAAAATCTTATTCAGCTTTTGACTATGCCAGGTATTCCACTGTCATTCTTTCTTTTTCCCTGCAGTTTTTCTTTGTATGTAATATATTAACACCTGATTTAGAAAGAGAGAAACATGAAGTTGAGCCCTGGCTAACGATTATATAATGTCTGCTGAAAGCCAAAAGAGGGGCCATGCCTTGTTACCTGGCCTGTTTTGGCAATTCCTCCCAATAAAGCCTTACAAATTAACATCTGCTATTATTCTGGAAATAGCTTGCAACCCTGCTGCACAAAACAGCTGGAAGGGAGAGACAAATCAGCTGGCACCGGTTGTAACATGTAGGATAATCAGCTGGGGCAGGTTTGGGAAAATCACGCATATAATAATGAGGTCTAAAAGCTTTGCAAGGTTTTAAATGCTTCAATAGCATGGATAGCAGCTGTAATCCCTCATAAAAGAGGGCTGTGGTTGTGACTGTTGTAAAACAAATAAGGCCAAGCAACCTTTTCTGCCAGTGCTTCCCGCCTCGCGACCCCCTGCTGTTTGAAATGGACTCTAGATGAGGGATGCACGCACGCTGATGAGGGAGGGTTTCGGGTCAGATTAGAAAGCGTGTGTCAGCATTTAAGCCATCATGACGATGCAGAGTGCAGTTAGTGGATTTCTGTCCTCTTACATGTATGATTTACTATGTTGTAGGGGAGAAATGGCAAACGTTCTGTACCCTTTCAAACCATATGCAGCATTACGTAATATGCAGTTCTGTTCTGCACTATTTCTGTACAAAAAATACGAAGCACCACCGGAAGTAACTGTTGTAACTTGAAGCTTGAGACATGGAATGAAGAGTCCAACAGTGTTATAGAAGTGCATTACTAAATACGAAACATGTTTGAGTTTGACAGCTTGTCGGAAGCCAAAACACTTCTGACAGTGCCTTTTATTTTAACAATGTGAAGAGTCAACATGGGGACAAAAATGTAATCCTCTGTATTTACATGAATGCATGTGTTTTAATGATCCATGCAGAACCTATGCAGATGATGTTATAATGTACTTTGGCAAACGTTGAGTAAGAGAAAATGCTGGATGACATTGCATTTTCTCTGATGGATCTGCCATTAAAAATGTGTTATCAAAATATCACTCGACACCAGGTTGAGAATCAATAATCAGGTTCTAGTTTATTCTTGCAAGAAGGAGCAGAGTTAAATCACATACAAAGGATATGGTTTAACTCACACACATGGGGTATGTTGCTCAACGGAACAGCAAAAAACATCAGGCTTATATAGTCCAAAACACGGAGATAGATAACAACAAAGTCGTAAATCGAGGTGGCGCTAATATCATCAGCAGGTGTCGGAAAGGTGACGGGGACATCTGCGACGTCTTCTGGAAAGAGTCACGTACTTCTTTCATGCCACTGTTGCTCTTTGCCCCATGAGATATTTAAGAGACAACAAGTATGTGTCCTCTCATAAATATCAACAACCTGAAATGCCCTGCCTCCTCCTATCACAAGAAGAGGCAGCTGCAAGGTCATACACAGTGCAGAGTCACACATAGTATCAGTGCATTAAACAAACCCAAAGAGTGGAGAAAACAGTATTTCTCCAACAAAATGAGTTAGGATGTTTTATGAACACTGTCTTATGCTCCAGTAGTGTGTTCTATAGATCTTTTTTTATGTTCTTAAAATGTTTTGGTTAAGAAATGGTATTCACTGAGAATCCAAGCTGACTATAACTGTCACCCATATGAGCAGGCTTTTCAGAACCACCTTCAAAATGCTTAGTACTATAAAGAGTATGCCTTTGAAGTGGAATGCCAGTAGCCTTTTAACAGAAAACTACCCACTGTCAAATGTAGTTTAGACTAAGTGTTTCATCTGATGCCACTCCACTGCTCCATCGAACATCTTTTGCTTCAGTGTTTGACAGCCTCAGCACACATAGTGTTCATTCCTCCAAGGAGCGGCACTGGAGAGAGATGGCTGGATTCCCCCATTCCAGAGTGGGACAGAAAGCATCTGAGTTTTACAGCTTGGTCATGGTCAATAAAAACCAGTGGATTCTTGGAGCCTGTACACTGCTCTTCCTGCGAAGTGTCAAGCAGTTTACAGCAGGGAAGGGACTAAGTGCTGCTAAAGTACTGGAAACTACCTCTTTATCACTAGTACCACAAAGACTTTATGGAATGAGTGACGTGTTCCTCACACTAATGGGCCACTACAATGTTATTCAAAGCACTGGAATCAGTGTTGGTCACAGCTTTATCAATATAGATCAAAAGGGATTTATTATAAGACAGAGTTAGACGAGGCTGCTGAATGCAAATGGTTAACAACTTTTTGTGGACAGGTGGGCTGGTACAAATCTCCTGACTTTGTTCCAGCAAAAAAAACAATAGATTTGCCCACTGTCGCTCACATGTACAATAATTAGAGTCATGGCAAACAACCAATCCTATCGTTTTAGTATAAGGGCGTGTTGGATCAATAGTGTGCAGTAAATGGAAGACAATTTATGAGACCACCTAAAGTTAAGAAGAAAGAATGCCAGAAAGGTCCAGGAAATCAACCATGAACCTTGGTGATCTCTGCACTCATGCAACTAGATACGTCCCCGGTTTTCTTTGTACATGTCCTACAATATGTGGTGGGATTAAACTGATGACGGGTTTCAAAGGTAAAGTACTGTTTGGTCCTTGAGTGTCCTCAAATCCCTCGAGTCTCAACTTCAGCTAATGTACAGATCTAAGTCTGGGGGGCGCCTGCCTGTTCTTTTCAAGAGACGCCTCTTTGTTCCGCCAAGTAGTAATTCACTGAAGGGTCTGAGATTTTTAGATCAGGTCTTAATGGGAAAAGGACACCTTTTCTCATAATGGAGAGGACACAGGAGGTCTTTCTTCAGATCTCAGCCTTCCGCCGTGTGTTCAGTTCCAGTGTAAAACTATGGAGGGGAGGGAGGGAGGGGGTGTGCTGATCATCCTGTAATCCACATAATCCCCTGCTGCTAAGGGACAAGACCTATGTGTGTGTTTGAGTGTGTGCATGTGTGCGTGCATGCAAGTGACATTCTTGTTTGCACATTCTACCTCCCACCAGCTCCAGTGGCTTTGAATAAAATTGACAGGGACAAACACAGAAGAGGAAATCTCATCAATGGCTGCTAAAGGCAATGTTCCTTCTCTTTTCCACCTTCAACTCACATGTCATCAGTACAAGCCAACACACCTAAAATGGTTTCACCAGAGATGATATTTGGCTGAACTTTGCATACCAACAATTAGCTCTTGACCCAAAATGATGGATTATTCCATATGGTCGTAATTCAAGAGAGTTTGAGCATCAATCATTTCACAGAAAACAACCCTAAGATTATATATCTCATGTTCACTCGAGAATAAATATGAATACTTTAACATGAACTGATAAAATATGAAGTGACTTAGGACTGGGAGCCACTTAGCCCTCATACTTTAGCCAAAAAAATCCCATAACAGATCTGATTCATGGAATGAACATTGGAGTGAAATAACCCCAAGGTCCTGCCTGCTAAAGCATTACAAAGACAACTGAGGATTTCTAGGTCAGGCTAATAATTGGAAAAACTGACTACGGTTGTGTTTTTTTTTCAGTTTCATAGACCGCAGTTTGAAAAAGTATTTCCACCAACTAGTATTTAGCATTTCTGTCAGGGTTGGAAACCTGTAGTCTCTAAATGCAAGTGGGCTATTTTACTGGTTGCATGTGTAAGGTGGATTGGCAAAAGCACTCTCAGCACAGAAAGCCCACTGTCGTTGCAACACTGTCTCTGGACACATTATCAATCAGACGGCTGCCAAGTTTAACACGGTCAGACTGGAGGGGAAGAGTTGAGGGGAAGAGTTCAGGGAAAGGAGTGCGCCTCCGTTGGCCAAGCTGTTACGCTGCCGGGTCCCATAGACGACAAATGGATTATCCAGATACTCAAACAGCCACTGGTGCATGTGGCGACCGAGAGAGAGGAAAAGGAATGACCGAGAGAATATGATAGAGCGAGAGAAACAGAGGAAGACAGGGAGCAGCATATTTTCCAGGGCACAGCACCCTGCTGCTCAAACCTCATCGTCTTTTCAGAAAAAGGATGGAGTGTTCGTGAAATACACCTCTTTTTCAACACGGGAAAATGTGGCATTGATAGATGGACACTGTGCAGTTCAGTGACTACACAGTGTAAGGTAATGCGGCAAAGACAAATATATTCTATGCACCACAAAAAGGTCTGTTCCTGTTTAAGAAGTCTATCCTACATAAGGATTCATGAGTAACATTGGCCTCCATTCAACACTTTCTCATGAGATGAATACGGACAGTACTGCTATACTTATATAGCCTGTGAGAAACATTTACAAAGCTGTAGTCAAACTCTGCAGTAGCCAACACGTTGTCACATTCTCACATCATCCAATCTCTGAACACTCTCATACCTCGTCAAACATTTCATCAGCTTTACGCTACAGCTGCAGACACTTCTTGGAACATTTTAGAAACCTTCAAACTGAGATTTGAATCATTAACATGGGATTTACCATTGAGCAAGAAAAGATTGACCAAAGTTGAAGAAGAGAATGACAAGACCCTTGCAACACATAGATGCTAAATGTTATGCACGATCCAATAAAACCCTCTCTTTGATCAAACAGTCCATGGTCTTCCACCGTCTCTCAGCTTACACGAACAGAACATGGTCATATATGCAAGTGAAATGCTGAAGCAGAGGGAATCCACAGACCAAAAAGTCTTAACTGGCAGAAAACTGGCAATGGAGCAGGCTGTCATGACCACTTCACAGCATGCAGGGGTTGCCAGCAGCATCTGGATGAACAAGACTCGCAGCTTTGCAGCAGCTTGGTAGCCCTCCAACAAACTATGTGGCAAACACTGCACAAAGGGCCTGATGCAGAGAGCGATGTTGACTGGTCCTGGAAAAGCTGCATGCAGGGGTGGAGGAACGAGGCAGTGGCATGGGGGGGGTGCAGCAGCAAGGCGCATGGTGACACAACCTCAAGACAATACGTTGGTATTGGAGGATTCTGGGAAAACTTCAGACTATGTTCGTGGAATTTTTGGAATGGTCCACTCAACCGTTTGATCAGGGGTCAGGGTTGGATGTTGACTGGACACAAAAACCGGCATGGCACCCATTCATAATCCCAGACTTCTATTTTACATTTAGCTACATATATAGAGCACTACTTTTTTAACTGGTACTATTCGTTGACATTGGACATACATTGTGTAACCAAATCGACCACTTTAATATACTTGGCTTTGCAGTGACAAGCCTGTATACCTTGGAGTTCCCTCTATATTTGACTAACATTTAGGGTACATCTAATCCAATATGCAGTGCTAAAGCAGAAAGTAGTGGACTATTTATGTTGGCACATGCAGGGACATTGGGGTGGTGGATAATCGTGAAGCACCTTCTTCAAAATCTTTCCCTACCCTTCACCATACCAAACAGTATGCAGAAAGCAAACATCTTTTAAATTGTTGACATTGGAAAAACATCACTGAACGTAATCTTGGGTTTTGTGGAATTGTCCAACAATCATGGTTCCATGATCATCCAACCAACTGAGGCAAAGCAGAGCTGTCACCATCACATGTGCTTCAAGAGCACACTGTTGGATCACATCTTCAGCTGTCTTGAAACAAGAAGCTATGTCAGTACCATGATCGGGTGCGAATGACTGTAGCAGGTATTATTTGCAAAGGCCCAGTCAACAGGAAAAAAGTTTAACCAATTGGGTTTAGACGGGGTAAAAAGCCTGAGCCAAACAGGAAGTGTTGGAAAGGAGAGCAGCTCAAATTTGTGGATGAAATACTAACAAAGACGGTCAGAGAGTACAGAGGTGAACAGAGGGGTCATGAAAGAATTGGACTGAAAAGCCAAGAATCAAGAGCAACATGCAGGCACTGGATTGGTTGGAGTTCCTACCCAAATGGACTGTCAAGGATTCACAAGGCCATGAAGGTCATTGTGGGCTTTAAGATAGATCTAGTGGATGATAACTCTAGATGGATGAAACTTTCTACAGACATTCATGGTCCCAGAGGATGATAATGGCAGCACCTATAGGTTCTGAGGGAAATGTCTGCAGGTTGGATTTAAACAAAATGTCTTTCACTTCATGATGAACTGTATCAACTTTGGTGATCCATTTAATGTTCCTAAAACACCCTGATCAAGTCAATATTTTAGATTTAATAAATACTTTGGTTTATGGCTGATATCCCACAAAACATTATGCTATGCTTATAAGCATTTAGCTCAAGCTCCACTGTACAATACAGTACAGTCTCACAAAGCTAGGATGGCTAGACTACTTTGTCATCATCTTGCCAATAAAATGTACTTAGGTTTTTGGCTTGTACTGACGTTTGATTTGCATTATTATAGGTTACATGGGGCCAATACTACATTCATTTCCTTGCTGTACTGTGGCAAAGACTGGCCCCCTCCTGGCCCCTAATCCTCCATCAGTCACCAGGTTCTCCAGAAGGTGTATCCTCAAACCACTCCAGGTTCAGGTTCAGGTTCCGGTGAAAGCAATCAATTACTGGAAATATAAAACTATAGATGCTGCTGATTTCCCACAGAAATCTTATATCTTCTTCCTTCTCTTTTCTTTTTGAAATTGGCAGCTGACAAAGTCTACCACATGTGGAAAATCTTTCATAACTTTGGGCCCAAACCAAACCATTAATAATGGATTTTTATGTCAAAGCTGCACGGAAGTCACCGGGACAATCAATTATTATGGGAACTTTAAAATGACTTTCGTGGAGATACAACGCTCCTCCAGGACATTCAATGCAAATTGGGTTAATTGGATGGAGGTCAGCCAAAGAAATGTGAATAATGAGGTTATAAATCGTAGCCCTGTTGTGTGTGAGCCAGCTATACTGCTAATGTACAATCACTCTGTTAGTCTCTGACAGAGGGATCGGGATACATGTCCGGACAAACACTGGCAGCCTGTGGAACATTGCACCTAACCTCCGTAGCTCCATATATCCTATGCTGCTCTAAGCTTGGTTGTACCATTAATGGAAAAATCTGAGATTTAAATCCTGGATTGTTGGTGGAGGGTTTTCTTTGGGTTGCTTTCCCTTCTCTGGTGGAAAGAAGAAAAAACTTCCCTGCAACATTTAGTTTCTACCCCTCCCCTTTTTTTGACATAGTCAGCCAAATTCCACTTAAAGCTCCTTGCCCATGGGCAAAACTGTGATTTGCCACCAATAATATAGGTGTTATGATTATTCCATAGTTCATTAACATTTGCATGTTCAAAATATGGTTAGCTGTCCATCAATGAGAATGAAGCATTACAACATATGTGCAGGGATGACTGTGAACTTTAAGAAAGGATGTAAGAGGAATGATTGAAGGAAGAAAGGGAACATTAATGCAGGGAAAGTCAAGACAAGATGTCAAACTGGCTGCTTTTTTATTTATGAGCTCGCTGGAGGTGGAGAGCTCTGGGACAGATACAGCCAACCTTTATGAATAAATAAAAAGGTGCACTTACTGAAATAAAAGCCTCTCTCTCCACACACAAACTGCAGCGTGTCGACCAGCTCCGCCCCGCACAGGGTCTCTGGGCCCGCCCCTGTTGGCGTCGGAGTCAGGGTGAGGACGCACAGCAGTAGTGAGAGGGTGTGGCTACAGGAGATACAGCACATCGCACTCTGCAGCACAGGGACAGAGGGACAGCTTTAACATTTCCACTGCTGTTAAACACAGAGCATCATCATCACAGACAGATTTAACTTTAATTTAGTGTAAGTCATGTTTTTTTTAAGCTGTCACATAACACTGCTGGCCACTGAACCTATCTGCTGTGATCGTTGGTGGCACAGTGCCTTGCTCAATGACACATCAGAGGGTGAAACACAACATTTTCCCACATAAGGTTTTTCCCAGTGAACTGAAGCCTCGTTTCCCTAACTTCCACTTTGCTCTGATAAAAAAGAAATAAAAAGAAGAAATAAAAGTGTCCGTGGCCACAGATGGTAACTTTACAGGGGTTTGGAGATGTGGAGGAAAATGACTTAAATCCAAACTTCCACTTGGTGCCAGAGTCAAAGAGTCAAACAAGAGGCTGGGCAGCTCTGATGCTCCGGAGCGCCTGTGCGCAACGAGCAGAGCGTGTCCAAATTGAAAAGACACATTTCATCTTATCATCTCGCCACTCAGCCCCTGTATATGTCATCATATGGTAATACAAATCAATATTAATCAAGAACCTTTTAAAATATATCATTAATCAAATCTAAGTAATGAGGCAGCAGTTTTCCCTTTGCCAAAACCAGCTGTATGCGCATTATTACGCACAGAACTGAACTAAAAACGTCAAAATTCAAAAAGCAGAATAAGAGATGCAAAAAGCGCCAGGGATCTTTCCGGGAGATGGAAAACGGCTCTCCCGCAAAACCCGGTCGAAGCTGAGTGGGTCAAATATACATAATAAAACGAATAAACATAGGACACTATCCATCTGCATCCAAACACAAACCGCACGGTCCCGACGCCGTTAAGTATTTCATGTTAAACTGCTCTGTCTTAACCCCGCAGCCTAAGGTTGGATATTAAGCTCTTAATAATGCAGACTCAGCAGTAATTATGTGAAAGTTGCAGAGCTGCATTAAGACTTTCTGGAGAAAAAGAGCGCACAGAAGCTCTGAGGATGAAAACCCATTCATCCGAGCAGTAAAACTCATGCACGATTCATGTCAAAATCTCCAACAGCAAAAAAAAGTCAATTAAAGCACAAGGGACAATTTCTAGTTAGAATAAAACATCATTAAACGCATGCAGCACAGTTTCTCTGTAACTGAATAAAATGGTTAAACATATCGAAATAAATCCGCATCTGTCATGCATGTAAAAGCATTGAAATGATCTGAAACTGAAACAAGTATTCTTACAGTTAAACCTGAGGATGCTGTGTGCAAATAGTGAGCAAGTGAAGGTGAATATATACAAAGGAAAGCAGGTAAGTTACCTTGAAGACATCACATAAATGCCACTGAAAGGAAACAGCGCTAGACATCCCCACGGGTCTCCGCAAGACAAAGCCCGGCGAAAATGAACTTGTTTGAAGTCATTAAAAACGGGGAGAAAGAGGATGAGATGCGGGCAATGTCACATCTCAATATTCCGACTTTGTTCCATTGCGCAGGCTCGTTTTGGAGAAGTGAGATTTAGCGAACAGGAGACGGATTTAGAGAAAATCCCTCACATTTATCTACATTACACAGACATTTTCAACAGGAAACAGCTGGGGCAGCATTTGCCTCCTACTCGTCCTAAGTTATTCATTAAGGATTTTGGGCACATATTCAAATAACGTCATTTCTCTTTTTTTCTCAGAACGGGATTGAATTTTGATCTCTCTAAGACTTGGTTAGTAGTTCAGATGTAGATAGAAAAGCGGTGCTGCCCCACCAGCAGCAGCTCACACTCACACTCACACACTATGCGCTGAAAGGAGAAGTTAAAGGCGAGCTGGAGGTTTTCATAAGAGTGCTGGTTGTTGTACGTAATTTGGCACAGCCTTTTATCCAAAGTCTGATATGATTAAAGCAATAACAAGCCATTGAAACAGTTTGAAAAACAACTTCAATACAAAATAAATATAATAAAATAATCTCAATATATTTTTTTTAAAACGAGTACAAAGATATAACATTTAATTAAAAATACCTATAGAGAATATAAAGCAGATATAGCCAGAAAAGCTTAGTCTGAAGTCTTGTTCTGTCTAAACGTTGTTCTTCTATGCAATATTTGCTGATTTTCTATACCTTATCTTTATAATTTCTAGTCAGAAATTAAGTAATCTCTGTTTTCTCTGTTGAAATTAAGTCCAAATATGAAGGTTTACCTGCAAATCAGATGTGATCATGTGATGCTTTCATGAACCGAGGGATCTGAAAACAAAAGTGTGAAAAACAAAAGACATGTGACCAATAAGACATTTTTCTCATATTTTTCAGATTCCAGCCAACTCCTTGGCATGCCAGACTATAGCCGGATGCTTTGCTCCTGGGCTGACAAACACTTGATGGCCCCCGCTGTGCAGAGCCACATGTTAAGGTGAGGGCCCCATGTTCCCACTGTGCCAAGCTAAAAAAAAAAGCCCCAGCAATGACAGGAAACAGCTTCGCACGGAGCGGGGCTTAACAAGACCTGTTTTCAGCAGGGACGGCAAATAAACACTCATCCAAGCACTAAACATGAGATAAGTGCTGTGACCCAATCATAAAACAGGACATCAGCACATCCCAGCATGCTCGGCCAGTGTGCAAATGCACCAGGAGCAGGGTGGGATCCAGAGGGGCCGAGGGTGGAGACACGCAACAGTTAGGGTTGTTGGGGTAAAGTGGGTCAGAACACAAGCACGTCCACACAGGACACCGAAACGACTCACACGCCTATCCAAAGTTAACTACTGGTTTACAACATGAGTATTTGGGGGTCAGGGGTCACAAGATAAATGTGAGGGGTCACGAGATGAGAACATTTTACTTTGTTGTTGTGAGATAAAGGATTGTTTCGTAATGATGCACAATAGTAATGTTTGCCACACCCATGGTTACAATGATGTCAAATGTTTAAACACAGAAGTCAATGAAAAGTAATCACTCATTTCTGATGATCAATCCTGGTAAGTGCCAACTGGAACAAATAACAATAACAATAAATGGCTGGTTTGAAATAAAAGCCAATCCCACGAACAGTAACTCAACCAGCTCTAATACGACTCCAGGAAGGTGAACAGTAATCTAAATCTGGCGAGGGAATGGCGGACCCCACCACAACCAATAAACAGTACTATATGAATAAATAATTTGTGTAGGCCTAATGTACGTTTAAAGACATGTAGTTGCTTTGCAGAACATAATGCAGATCAAAAATAGAAGGTTTGGAAATCAGGATGAAATTCGTACTTAAATTCGTACTTAAATCTACAACAACTTTGATAATAAATTAATCATTCTAAACCAAAATTACTAAAAGCTTTTCAAAGGGGAATATTTGTTTACTCATCCGTCTCAGATAGTAAATTCATCATCTTTGGATTTTTGGACTGACCTTGGAATGTAAATAAACAGAATAATGAATAATAGTAAACTGTGTTTCTTATATTTGGCCTGTTAGTTAGACAAAACATGTGATGGGAAGATCTTACTTTGCATTAATCGATAATGACAAATATTGTAGTTTCAGCCCTGCTTTATATAGTCATATTTACACAAAATGCAGACGGTCAGTGCATTAAATGACATTGATCTGAATTCAATATCTCAGCTCCTGTCACTGTGAACGCACTGATCTCTGCTCGAGACCCCGGGCAGGGTCTCTGTTTGCCTCCCTGGTGGATTGCGTCACCATGAAGAGCTGCTGATACAACGTGGAATATGATGATGATGCTCCTCTGATTATAGAGACAAAGCTGCTTTCAGACCAGAGGATGACCTTGTTAGCATCAGATCAGGACGTAGCCGGTCACTGATGCCCATAAGCCCCTCTGTCAGTAGCTCGTCTTCGATGTGAAATTCTCCTCTTTCCCTGACTCCTGACATTAATATAACCCTCTGCGTAGCGTGTAAACGCCTCATCACAGACTCTGCTGTTATCACTGTGGTCGGCCAGTATTGATGATGGGCTTGTACATCTGCTGATGCAGGAGTAGGAGGAAGAAGAAGAAGAAGGGGGGGGGGGGGCCTGACCTTCGCCGTCTCTAATACCCTTCGCTCTGAACCGTCTTGGTGCCAGGTTTCTCTCCCCCCCTGCAGCCCTGTCTAAGGAGACGTCCGCCCCAGTGAACTCATTGACCAGGGAAAGGCTTGTTTTCACTCCCTTTTGGTAAAAAATGTGAAATGTGCATCTTCGCGATAAAAGCTGTGAGAAATTTGGCAGCAAGCAGAGTTATCTCACCCCATTTGGAAGGCTGTTTAATGCGTTAACAAAAAGGCAATAATTGCAAAGAAGCAGACACTTTTTGCAGTGTTAACAGCATCTTGTCTGGTGTCTCCTGCCAAACAAATGTCCGAGTCAGAGAGAAACAGATACGGACAGCGGTGCAGAATGCAAATGAATGAAAGTGGATCAAAGGGAGAGGACGGGGGGAAGAATGAGAGAGTTTGAAAAGAAGATAAACCCGTGTTAACAGCATGGCGTGGAGGGATGATAGAGGGCTGGTACCCAAGATGGGAGGGAATGTGTGAGGCCGGGCACACACACAGGTTCACATGAGGACACAAATGCGAATGTACACTCTTGATTAGTATAATCCTTCTCTATTCTCATGATTAGTCCGAGGGTTTTCCAGCTCAGTGGGTATGCGTTACCTTTATCATCGACTAAAACTAAAGCTTGAAGGGAGGGTATATATTGTATATAAGTACTTTTTCTATGCGTGTGTATTACTTTTCAAAGCATGTGGGTAACACAGGTTGTGGTAGTTTGTGTGTGGCTCTGTTGTCCATGCAGTAAAGACAGATATTGTTATCAAAGCCCTGTTCTGTACCATACACTGTTCATATGGAAGAAATAAAGGTGCGTCATGGAGCAAAAGCAAGAAATGGGGCGCTTGTTTTGATACGCTACGTTTCCGTAGTAACTCACAGGGGTCAAAGTATTTTGGCAAAAAGGCCCGGAAATTCTGTGGTGCCTGTTGATGATCAAAACCTACTTTAAAAAAAAATATCTCTGGGACAGTTTAACTGTTTGTGATCGCTGAACATGCTGGAAGGGACTGGGTTTTCATCAAATCAGGAAACTAAAGTTGGAGGCTGCACCCCCTGATTTACTGCTGATGAAAACAAAGGAGCCACATGCTCAATGTGGACTCCCAACTGCAAACAAGCTGGCAGTTATTTAACTGGTAACAACAACTAAAACTAATGTGATTGGGCCTGCGTAGCTAAACAAACAAGGAATAGCTTTGCCATTGAAGTCTAAATAAAGCTTATCAGTTAAAGCTGCACAAATCAATATCCTTATACAAAAAATGTACTAAATGGCTTGGTGTTATATAAAAGATGTTGCTCATAGCGACAACTGATGAATAATCTGCTTGAAAACTGGTGAAAACAAACATGACTTAAAATAAAGATTACTTCAAGTCTGCTAGATGTAAAATACAAATAAAAACCTGTATGCAAACAAGCTCATCATATCAATTAACAAGGTGATATGTCAGAGTTGTGTCTTCAGCTTGAAACAGTGCCTCCATGTGGCCAAACACTGTTATTGCAACACTTTGCACTGAATGAAATAACTTACACAAATTGTTAGTGCTAATGCAACAGCAATAAATGCCCATTTACTCATGCAAATGACTTACTTTAGAGTTGCCTACTGGAATATAACACTAAAATTCACTCGTCTTTACTTACTGTTCAACTGTAAATACCCCGTTATGTTCAGTAGTGCTGTGCTGGTTTACACTAAGTTTATCCAAGCTTTTTTTGCTGAAATAATGCTCTCTATTGCAGCTGGAAAGAAAGTGAAAATATCTAGTATTTTCAAAAGGAAAGCAAAAATGAAAGAAAACTGATTTAAGTCCAACAGAAATATCGTCTCTTTTCTATAATACTTGTTCATCTTCTATCCACATGAACTGCAGGTGCAACGTATGGCACATACTGCAAACACAATGGGTGACTTATTATTCGTGGGGTGTTTACATTATTGTGTGCACAGTAACCTGGAGACCTGTCAGAGCGGGCAGGCTTGTCTATGAGAAAGTCCGGGAATGTTCCACTGAGTCACGAACAAAAACACAATACAAATACTAAAACAAAAGCATGTTCGGTAATTACAGACTTAATATGTGGTTCCAGTAAACACAACTAGTCCTGGAGACAAACCAAATGCTCACATTCAGGACTTTTGATAATGTGCTGCCTCATTCTGAACGAGGGCATGAGAGATGCCCCAAAGCATGCAGGGAAGTGTTTGTGCCGTTTACCCATGACGAGGAGGGTTCTTTTGGGGTGGGGAGGGGGGGGGGGGTGAGGGCCATCTCTCCGGGGTCTCTCCGGCTGGCGGGGTCGTGGTGCTCCTCCTCTGCCCCCCCACCTGGCAGGACGAGGCTATGTCTAGGGAACAGACCTCTGCCAGGCCTCAATTACAGGGGGAATAATCCCGGACACACTGAAGCAATTACAGCCCCATATAAATCAATATGC